TTAACGATTGGAAAATTGGCGATGATGATGAAAATGCGTATGATTATTGCATTAAAACTTCACGGGCAGGCAATAAGTAAAGGACTTTTGGTGAGTGCGCGCTTGCAATTGTGCTGAGTCACTCATGCAAATTATAAACTTACAAGTTAAACATATTTGGTGAATACAGAAACTAAAAGGCGTACATACATAAACATATTTATTTTTTTTTATTTATTGATTTTTGTTTTCTATTCTTTCTGTTGAGTATTAATTATGAAACATGCGAAATATGCGTGATACCGTTTAAGAGGCGACAAATTGACGTCATGCACACGGGCATATAGACAAAGATAGTTACGTCCACGCAAACAGAACCAGGTGCAAATGCAACTAGGATGGTGGTGTTGGTTTTAGAGCGAGAGGATTATTGGCTCGTGTATTCTCTAGTGGGTTTGCGTGATAAACAGTGCGACGGGATTACGAGTTTTGCAAAATGAAACATTATATAGAAAATCCGCTACACGCGATTCGGACAATTTTTTCAATGTTCATTTTATTTCTTTTGGTTTTTTGCTTTTTTTATTTATTAGTATTTTTTTTATATATTTGGTGCTTGTGCGACAATATCGAAATACTAAATAGATATATGTAATTAAGTAAGTGTACGAGTAGTAATGCAAAATAATTGAAAATTCGTACGTGAAGAGACAAACACACGCACATTAGTGTTAAATTTATATATTGAAAATGCATTTGCGTTCACTACGATTTGTGAGGTTAGTTTAGTTATTTGCTTGCTGTAATTAACACAAACTAAGTTAGTATAATTTGGTGGTTTCTTGCTTAACAATATCGCAGTACACGAATATATGGTAGAAATTAGTATAAAACACTAGAAGAATAGTTAGTAATTGGTGCAGATTACAGCCCCGGCGCCTCAAAAACATCTTTTTGCTGCAATTATTGTTACCGTTATCATTTTTTCTCTCTTTTTCGTCTTCCATATTGGGCGTAGCTGCAGCGGTAACAACAACGTTAGCAACAAAAAAATGCGCACCTGTTCTTGCGTGTCGATTTTTTAATTTCTTCTAACCTATCTATTTGTTAAGTAACTATTCCTTCTTTCATTCAAAAAAAAATATTTTATAAATTTTGAAAAAAGCCTGGAAAAAATATTTTTTATTATTTTATTCATTTAATTTTTTTTAATAATTTTTTCTGCCTAAATATCTGTTCAATTGAAATTTTATGGTGGCACCATCTCGTAAAAAAGATAATATAACTTTTCAAACTTGCACAACGAAATTTAATTTTATTTATTGCCGCGCAAAGAACGATGTAAAGTATACATATGTATGTATGTATGTTCAGGTAAATTTTTATTCCAACATCCACTTGATTTGTATCGTAATTATACACATTATTTAATTTGATCAAAGTAAGTTTTCGTTGCAATGCACTTCATCCAAATAATAATGCTTATAGCTAAAATAGAGTCAGGTAACATGTCAATGCAAGCAACCAATTCTTACACGAGTTGTACCCTGCAGGGAAAAATACTAGTTGTTAACTAGAATCACACTAGTTTGCATTTTTACACCCACTCAACCATCTACCTTCATTTTATAATGTGCGCACTTCAAAAGAGCATACCACACAATGAAACTCACCAGTGGTGAGCTAAAAACGTATTATTAACTTATGCACGTCACGGTGATGGAAATTAGAATTTACCCTTTACTTGTCGCTGTTGTGGTTTCAGCGTTAAGAAAGTAGCATTTAACTAGAATTTTCTCATAGTAGTCTATATTTTTCCTGCAGGGTTGTGTGGTAGTTAAATGCAGAAATTGTACGTATGTACATATGTATCATATTTGTTTTTGTACTTTTATATCATGAAGTTTTCAATTGCTCAACTGCTTCCAAGGCATGCATTTGCAGGTGTATACTCTTATACGTACATATATCACCAAACTTTACTTAATTTATTTATTCCTCTTCTGCGCTGATTTTCTTTCGCATTTTATTCGCGCTGGATCAGTCTTTACTTTATTTTATTTTTTGTAAATACTAGTTTTCAAATTTAACTAAAAGTTTAATGAAAATTTTTCAATACATTTACTCGTAAATGTAGGCAATTTGGTTTTGGAGGCAAATGAAAACACGACATCAAGATTTTAAAAAGTTTTAAATTTACAAGAACAGAGGTTTTAAGTTATTTAATCGTCATCGGGCACCAAAGCGGCATCTTCTTAATCAAAAAAAAAAAAAAGAAAAGGGAGGCTTGGACATAAAACCACGCTTCAGAGGTTAAAAAGCGCTCATTTTTCCACAGTTTTTAGCGAACACGAACAGCTTGGAAATAGACTAACATGAAATTTTATCTTTCAGAAAAATCAACCTCTTCAACTTGCTTCGAAATTGAAGATAAAACATCGATTTGATGATTTAATCACAAAAGTCACACACTCCCCAAAAGAAATAAGAAAGAGTGTAATTTCAACTCTCTAAGCATGATTTGGCTGTGCTTTTGAGCTGCATCTATATATACACGTACGTGACCAAGCTGACTTACTGTCTCGTTGTAAGACCAATATTTGCACTGACAAAATTTTCTTCTCATTTTCCGAGAGTTACATGAAGACTAAACATAAGACGTAGAAGTTTCCAAGAAAGCAGTATACTGCACTGATAACTTAATAATGGCAGAGGTAGGATTTTATCAACTCTTCCTCCTCTATTTCCTTTTAGCTGCGACAGAAATAATTAGTCTTCATAAGACAGTGTCCGTTTAATATGCGATATGTTGCGATACTAATGAAGGTCCGTTTCAGAAAGAATAGAATTTTTTATCTTCCCTTCTCTCCTATTCTCCTCCATCAATGGCCACATATGAATAGTCGCATTGTATTTGGTTTCCTCATTACTGGTTAATGTCAAGCTAGACATGTATTTTCGCTGCTTTCGGACAACCGAATCACGGATTTTTGTAAACAATCCACATCTCGCCGCTCTAGACTTGATGTGATTACATGGAAAAGACTTAATGGCGAATTGGCGGTCGGAGTAGAAGAGTTGAGTGAAAAAGTGACAAGCAAAAGCTCTCATTGGTGTTCTCTCTAAGGACCCACTGTTGTGAATAACTTTATGCTAAGGCATTAATTACAATTTGGGCTCAACTCTATATAACTGTTTTCGAAATTAATTAATTAACATTATATCAATGCTTTTCGGTGCCCAATCACTGGATTTAAAAGAAAAATCAAATTTTAAGTACAAGTAACTGTTTTCTTTGTAAAAAAATTTATACAATACAGTAAAGTAAATATAAAATCGTAACAAACAAATTCCATAATAGCTGAATGAATTCATAAGATGTAAATGTATGTATATATATGTGAATGTATGTATAAATGTGAGATGTATTTATGTACGTTATTTTATGCGAATATGTTTCTCATCGAATATGGTGAAGAGGTAGTAGTGATGAATAAATTTTATTTTACAGGATTGAAAGGAAAATTGTGGAGAAAATGAACGATACAGTAACAAATAGAAAATAAATATAATAAATATAGTCAAACATAGAACATACCAATAACTATACAAGAGTGATTTAGAGTTCAACAAGAAGAACAAGAAAAATACACAAAATGATATGACGAAATGATATAAGGATGTAAGGATACGTATGTATGTAAATCATATGCAAGAATGATTTTGGGTGGAATTTCTTTTATATAATGTCTACATATGCATTATCAGAAAGTTAAGCGTCCAATTTTCTATGCAAATGTACCTATGGAGGTCATAGGTAATTATAAATTTTTTTCTTCCCCATATTGATTCTAATTTCTATATGGAAGAACTTAAGGGTTATCGGATATTTTTTTCCTGGTTTCAAACCAATTTCTCTACCAGCTTTTCAAGCAATGCAGAGGTAAAATGCTCAAAGCCATACAATTTTTTTTTAATTCAGCAAAGATTTTGATCGCCTTACTACTTTAAATGGATCTGCATATTATGAGATGAGATGTATTCAAAATTTTTGTAAGTACAAACATATAATAAAATAAACTCGAGAAGTATTTTGCGCAAAATAAAACTTTTCAATTATTCATTACCGACTCACTTACAAAAGTTTTAAGGGTTGAAAATATTTGTTTTTCGAAACAACAAAATGGGTATGTGATATACTAATATGTAACATATGTAAACAAGATGGAAGATGCATTTATGCAACGAGTGAACAATCAATATTTTTTACCTTTTTTTAATTTTTGCACCAATATTTTTAGTTGCTTGACATTTAGCGGAAGTTTTGTTTTCTGATTTTATGCATTTCGCAATTAACAAAACATTCGTGTTGTTGTAGTTTACATAAGTGATGTTGGTGTCAGGGTGATTGCACGGTACATTCTGGTACTGACTAACATTTTATTTTGTTTTTTTTTTTAATTTTTCTTCTTCTTATTTTTCAAACAAAAATTCAGTTTATATTTGTACGTTTGTAAAGACGAATATTTACAAAACAGAAAAGTAATTAAATAAAAAATGCCGAGTACACTCAATAAAGAAACGTGAGCACTGCATTGAAAGCACCTACACATACGTACATAGAATATGCGCTGAACACAAGTACTGTATGTATGGAATTGTGGGGCGGTTGATTCAAGTGGCCATTTGACGCACTCGCTTGACAAAATACAAAATGTTGTTGGGGCTCAAAAATAAAATAATAAAAAATAAATAAAACTAACAAAAAAAATATAATAAAACATCGAATTATAATAACAAAAAGGTATAGTTATTGTTCCTGCTACAGGAATTATCGATTGTTTGTCCCTTAATGACCTTATTGCTTGATTTACTTATTAACTATATTTTCAATATATATCCTTTTAAATTTCTATTTAATTTTTTATATCTTTTTTTTTTTGTTTTCTTTTTTTTTAGAATGAAAAAAACGACACGGCACGACACGTAGTAGGGCAAATAGAAGTGCTGGTGATACATACATAACATACCCCTGACAGGGGGAACCCCGTCAACTTGCAGCCGTAGATTGGAGGCTCGTCGCGAGAAGCGTATGGTGTGCCAATTGTTATCATTCAACACCGATTGCCCAGCGAGTAAATTCTATGGGATGACAAAGATTAATGAAGTTGTTTACATTGAATTCATTGATTTTGAAAAAATAATTAGAGAAGTAAAGTAATGCAAGAAAATTACATTGAATTATAACAACACAAAATACAATTAAATTAAATTAAATAATTCAATGCATACGTAACTAAATTAGAATAAATCGAAATCCAAATTATGACAAAACCCGAGTAATACAAAAAAAAATAAGAAAGTAAACAAAAAAATGAATTAATAAAACAAAACGAAATAAACGCAATATATATATATACATATATATTTAGCGCTTTGTAACCGCTGAAGCGCTTCTAGGCCGAGCGGCTACTCCAATTTGTGTTTTACGCCTTGCTGTTTTTCCAACAAATGGAAGGACCTGCCTCCGAGCGGCTGATGGTTCTTTTGCGAGGAGCCTTTATTGCATGTCAGAAACACACTCGGAATGGTTGGCAATCCCTGCCGAAAAGCGACCGCAGTTAGAAAATTTAACTTAATTTTTTATTTAAATTAATTTTCTATAACTTTCGTATGTTGGTCGTACCAGAATATTACCCGGATCTTCCATATGGCATTGCTAACCAATCGGCTACCTCTGTCTACTTAACAAAAGTCAAATAATTTATTTCAATTTGACAAAAAAAAATTATTTAAAATAAAAAAAAAAAACTAATTAATATTTTATCAAACGAAAGAAAAACTATAGAAAATAAAATGAAATAAATAAAAAATAAAATAAAAAAATAAATTTAATAAAATAAAATTAATAAAATAAAACTAAATAATAAATCCCATCGTATTCATTTACCTTTTCGCGATCACTCAATCGTACACTGGCACGCACACGTCCTGCCACCAAAGCGATCTCCAAACGATCGGGTGAATTCGATTCAGCGCTGGTAAGTAAAATCAGGCCTGTTGGCCGTGACGTTTTGAAGCGAATAATTAGCTCTTCGGTTTGTGTTTTAGTTCCTTGACCATTGCCCAACCAGACGGTCATATGTTGACTGCCATTAAATGCCAGTGTGGCCAATTCACGTCCACAAGTCGGTCCCGCGTAGAGTGTAGCAGTGCAGTCGCAAATTGGTCTATTCCAGCCTTCGATACAAGTGCCACCATTCAAACAGGGGTTGCCGGCGCAGACGTTTGCCTGCACATGGCACGAGGGCTTCACAGAAGCTATGGGTCGGTGGGAAAAATTGAAAATAAATAAACAAATGTGTATTGTAAAATGAAATCTAGAAAATATGTATGCAAAATCTTTCTAAAAGCTATACATATGTATGTATACACAAATACACATATGTATGTATATAAAAATACGGTTACAACTCAGATCTCGCTATTATAGATAGAATATCAAGGGAAAGTATACTGTGCACACTTCAGCAGAAGGCTATGAATTTAATTGATCGGTCACTTTCAGATCGGATTCCGTAGTAGTGGAAGGTCTAATCACTTACACTGCAATTAACTTCATAATGGTGGGTGTCAGACAATATTCTTTTAGAGTCCGTTCATAAATTTTTGCATTCAAGTGATTATTAACTCCAACAAGAACAGGTGATTTGCTAATTAAGGACAGCACTTAGTCGTTATTCTGGTTTATTGCTTGAAATCACAACCTTAACTGCTTGCTATGTGGTTTCATATATGTATGTATGTATAGAATGGTTGACACGACTCGACACCAAAACACCAAAAATAAATTATCATTCATCTACCACCAACAAAGTATTTGCATAAATAATTGTGTCCCATTTAGTTTTAATGGTCAAAACATTTCCTATCCTTGCATATTCATAACGAGTACAACAAACAAAACCAAGCACTCGAACGTACCTGAATCCTGCAAGCGTGCGAATGCTGCAATATCGATCGCCTTGCCACTTAACACCAAGTCACGCAAACAACCGACAAAACCCTGTCGCAATGTTGCCGTCCATATAGCCGGTGGCCATGCTATATTATTATACGCTGGCCCTGTACCGCCCACATACATATGTCCATCGAGTTCCAATATGGTGCCGTCGCCCGGAGTGCGAAACTCATTCCAAACACCATCGACGCTTACCTTTGCATCGCGTCCGTTACGCCGTAATATCAAATCATGCCAATCGCCATCGTCTACTCGCCGCCGTGAAGCACGCACTTTCGCCGCGCCCGAACCCAAATCCAAGTGAATGTAGATGTGTCCGTTCAATAGCTCAATGGCAAATAGCACGGCCTGTGGAAAAAAGGTTAATCATTTAATGATTGTTGTAGTAAACAAGCATTAATGAGTGTACAATGGTTATTTTATGATATATAGGAGAGAAAAATAATTGATTCATTTTAAGCGGTCCCACCACTGATATTGGGCTTTTTTTATTTTTTGTGGGATAATGAAAAGACATACGAACTTCCGGTTTTGGTTATTAAATTTGATTATGATTTGAAATTTTAAAACGGCAGCTAAATAGTCGAAATTCAAAATGACGGCTACATAATGGCGCTTTCCCTCGGCCTCTGTGCGAAAAACCTGGCCCAACAACTTATATATTTATCGTATTGCAAAATCAGGGGAGGGTCTCCTTGACGACACCGTCAGTTTTCGATAAAATGAGACCTAATATCTACCGCGCTAATTGTTTCAGCTTGGAATGCTGCAATTTTCGAACTGGCTGAGAGAACTCGGCTGTTCTTCAGAGCCACTGTTGGTTTTAAATACATTATTTTTTATTCGAAGTCAAATAAGGTGATATTCGATTTCTATTATTACAAAATTCAAACTTAAAAAGAATCCTCAGCTAATGTATGTGTATCATAATTCACGCTTTGTAGAAGCGGAAGTGATTTTATGCCGAGCTGCTCGTCCAATTTTCGGTGTGCGTCTTGATGATTTTCCCGAGAAATGGAGGTACCTACAGTCTATACTACACCGCCTCCGAGCCGCTAATAACTTTTTATCAGGAGCCTTTATATTCGTTCGGAAGGGTTGACATTCCCTGACAGGGGTGACCGCAATTCGAAAAATTAACCAAATCTTTTATTTTTTATTAATTTTTTATAGTTTTTTCTTGGTTGTTGGTCGGGCCAGGACTCTACCGGAACCTTTAGCATAGTGGAACACGCTGCTAACCATCTAATCTTAGGCTTAATGAATGCCAAAAAATTCTCGCTTGCCTATGGTCTGAATATCTTCTAGGTAAAACCTAGAAGCAGACAAACTAGTATTTTCTTATTGATAAAGAAGGCGCCAGCGCAAACTTTTGCTCATCGAATTCACCTATGAACAATTTCCGAAGATGTGGAATAACACGATCCACCGTACCAAGTCAAATCAAGCTCAGAAGAAATGGGAAAATGTCCTGTGAACCTTATTCTTTTAAAAAAGAGAATCTACCCAGTGTAAACCGACTTCTGAAAAGTCAATGTATTATTTTAGCTGAAGGATTGGGAGCTCGTGATATCAACAAGCTTCCAAGCACTTCTTTCCCTGAGTATTTTTTAAACTAGCATTTTATGTAGTACGAGCATATCCCACAAATCAAACTTTACTCACATTCTTTGAACGAGGTTGCTTGGAACCAGTCGCCAAAATAATCAGTCCATTGGGCTCCTTAGTCCGAAACTTAAATGATATGGAGCTTTGTTTGCCAGTCTCCCAAGGCGGCAAGACCTACAGTAGTATTAAAATTAAATTTTAGAAACATTTATACATATACACACTCTAAAGCCAACATACCAAATGCGATTCTCTGGTGGTGAATGTAACTGGATCCTGTGGATCACCAATGGGACACTGATATTCAACATTACCGGCAACTTGTATTAGTTTCGAGCCACTTTTAGCCAAATCAATCAGATTAAGTAAAAGTGTATCCGCAGAGAACTCAACCTTTGGATGTGAAAAAGAAAAGAATATACAATTTTTGTTTTGGGAATATACATGTACATGTACGAGTATGTACAAATAAGACTGCTAACCTTACGCAGACAGCCCACGAAATTATTATGCACCCGAGCGCCGAGTAAAGCACGAGGATTAACTGCACCACCAACGTATACGCGCGAAGAAGAGAGCATTGTAAATTTGCCGGCTATATGGGAGTGGTCAGTGTAGACATCATCGACAACGGTCACTAACTATGGAGGAGAAGCAATTATTATGTTTATGGAAACCATTCTCAGACGCCAAACGCTGCATCAACTTACTCTACAAAAGCTCGTTATCGAAGATATTTCCTGTATACGTCGATGTACTGTGACCTTATGCCACTGATGATCATCGAAACGGACCTTTGACGGTTTGATATGCATTTCCTGTTTGCCATTAGCCAAACCCATTGTTAGGGAAACACCACCATCGCGCAACGCCAAATTCAAGTAGTCAGTACCGTGCCCTGTTTCAAAACAAAATAGGAAAATAAATAATTTAATGGTTAGTGTACGTGTAAGCAACACTGGCTACGGTGGTGAATATCATAAAAATATTATATTATTGCGACAACCAACCCGTATAGAATAGTAAGCCATTTGGCTGTCGTGTGCGAAAATATAACGTAATGGCGTCCTGAGCACTAACAATAGGCTCGGCACTCGTTTGACCAAGATCATACGACAGGAACTGTTGACCGCGAAATGTGGCCTCCGATGGCGCTTTTTCTGCACGGAGTAATGAATTTCGGTTTAATATTTTTGGCTCATAATTTTGTGCAAATTTCTTTAATTCCAAATTATTTACCCTTTTCACAGTATTGACCATCATATTCGAGATTTTTGCACTCACAAATTGGTCCCGAGTCGGTTGAGATGCAAATACCGCCATGTTGGCAGGGATCACTTCGTTCGCAAGCATCTGTAGTATTACCGCCACGTACACCCTGGAAGTTAAGGATAAATTATTAAATATTCTTCTTACATATTACTGCTGGTAGCACGCTTTTAAATCGGTATGAACAACGTACCCTTGGTACTTTCTCCTTTGGCATTTCACCATTGTCACAAGGGCCATCACCACACTGTGAAGAAAGAAAGAAAAATAATAATTAATAAAACTGCGCAACAAAATTACTTACATATCTGTATGTATGTCAAATGTCGAAATTTCAAGAATGTCAATCTGGTGCGATTATATGGTTTTACTAATGAATTTCTGTGTTCTCAAGACCCAACACTAGAGAACTGAAATTTCGTCTACTCTGTGCAGAAAAAGAATAGTAAACAGTAGAAACAGTTTTCGACAAAAAACTCCACAATTATTTAAGTCCCTAAACATTTTTGCAGCTAATTTCGACCAACGACGCAGAATGGGGTAAAAGTGGTCACATCACGTGCATAGCCTATTTTATGCTGCAACTTCTATATTTTTGATGATATTTTCTTCAAATTTTAACATTTTATTTCAAATTGTTCAATTGAATCGGATACTGCACAAATTTTTATATTTACTCTTCATTTAGTTGACAAATGTCTTTTCTATTGATATTTTTGTACAGACACCAAATAGACAATTTTCAAACAGCAAAAAATTCTAGTCTAGATTGTGGCCATGCCTCTGGAATGTTTTGTTCGATTTTATTGCGATCAAAGTTTGATGAAAAATTTTTCCAAAGGTGCGACGTACATATGTCAGCTTTTCTGCTTGTACAAAAATTTCATAAAAACTCATCAACTAATTAGAAAATTAATCTTTCAAATGTAGTAGTGTTGACGAAGCCAACAAGAGTGCAAAAAATCAATTGAAGGAATGATGAGGTATTGTTGACACGGCTATACGAAGCTATGTTATCGCCGGATCGGCAGCAGGTTTCCGGCCATATGAATAATAAAGAAACCGAAGAGTTGGAAAAGTCGAAATTATTTCTTAACGAATCCAAAGAGAAGTTAGTACCATGTCTGCCAGGAACGACCAGGAAAGAGAGATAGATGAAATATTGATGAGTGCATAAGTTCGTGCCCGATTCCGCTGGATGCCGTTCGAATCGTTTGAGAGTGGCGCTCGTGAAAGAAATATATACATATTATACAATATATCATTGGAACATGTGACAGTCCGAACTGTAAATCAAGCATAAAATAACTTCATTCTGATTTGAGTTGCTTAGTGAAAAGACGCATGGAAGATGGACAACGAAAAAGATCATATGCGTCATATTATGTTATACGAATTCCGCAAAGGAAAAACAGTAGGCGCTGCAACTAAAGATATTCGCGAAGTTTATTTGGACCGTGCTCCAGCACTAGTTCGCGAAATTTCGTTCTGGAGATTTTAACCTCGAAGATCAACCTCGCAGTGGACGGCCTTCTGAGCTAGATGACGATGTTCTAAGGACTTTAGTTGCGAATAACTCACGTATTTCGACGGAAGAGGTTGCCAGAGAATTAAACAAATCAACTGCGTTTCGTCGTTTAAAAAAGGTTGGGTACACTTTGAAGTTCGATACATGGGTGCCACATCAGTTCAGTGAAAAAAACAAAGTGGACCGTATGTCAACAGCAATTTCTTTGCTTCGATGGATCAAAAACGAACCTTTTTTGGATCGGCTCGTGACTGGTGATGAAAAATGGATCCAGTACAACAATGTTCAACGCAAAAGAACATGGAAACAGGCACACGAAGGGGCGGAACCGATGTCGAAATGTGGATTGCATCCGATTAAGGTACTGCTGTGAATTTGGTGGGATATCCGTGGCGTGATCTATTTTGAGCTCTGCCAACTGGAGAAACGATCACTGCCAACAAGTATTGTCAGCAATTGGTCGAATTGAAGAAAGCAATTGAAGAAAGCAATTGATGAAAAACGTCCGATTTTGGCCAATCGCAAAGGAGTTCTTTTCCATCATGACAACGCCAGGCCACATGTTGCAAAACCGACCCTGGCCAAACTGAAGGAGATGAATTGGGAAATCATGCCGCATCCCCCATATTTACCCGACATTGCACCATCTGATTATCGTTTGTTTCGATCGCTGCAGAACAATTTAAATGGAAAAAAATTTAAAAATGTGGAAGACGTCAAAAACCACCTTGACATCTTTTTCAACGAGAAACCGCGCGATTTCTATGACTCAGGCATCCGTAAATTGGTTGAACGTTAGGAGTGGATTGCCGAACATGATGGCGAATACATAATTGATTAATAAAAGCGCTTTCTTCAAAAAATTTCAATTTTAGTTTGCATTTGAAATCGGGCACGAACTTATGCACTCATCCAATAATACGATAGCTTTCTAGATTTGGACCAAATATGAAAAGTTAAGAACTAAAAACAAAAATAACACGTCATAGCACCTAAAATTAGCTTGTCCCATAACAGTTGTTGCCATAGCTGCCATATCCTATCTGAGTGTCCATCTTCTCACATATTCGACATTGAACAATTGAAATCCATTGGGTATCAAACCATGAATTTAGTGAAAACCGTTACAGTTTTAAGTAATCCCATTCCTTAACTCTTCTGGGTATTTGATATATTTTCTCTACACTATATATTCATTCAGGTTAGTAAACACGTAAACTGTCTTAATTTCCTACGATTTTTTTGTAATCCAAATTATATTAGAACTACAATAGAATGAAAAATATTTTGTTAAATAAATATGAATCTAATAATTTTTCCTTAAAACAGTCCAAAAAATTGATTCCCTTTCTCATTCCTTTTTTTCCCAAAATACCACGAAGTGAAGCGAGCTGTCACTGATTACGAGGTGTGACAATTAAATAATGAGACCGAATGTATTGGCGCGATTGTCATAAAACTGCGACCTTGGAATCCCTTTTCACTTCTTCCTTCATCGTTCTCCTCTCCATTGATATATTTTCCATCGCTCTAGCTTGTTTAGTTCGTCTGCTGCGTCGTGTGCGCTGGTTTTTTTCAATACGACCCGAAAACCAAACTCGCCAAGTCCCACAATGGTTGTCTCGGCACGCCCCCAGCCCGAAAAAAGCTTAAATGAGCAAGTCGAAGATGAAAACGATGATTATTGCCTTTAAAGACTTTCTTCCTCCGGGGCAAACCGTAAATCAAGTCTACTGTCGCCAAGTACTCGTAAGATTGCGACAGCGAGTAAATAGGCTTAACTGCTCGGTTTGATTCTGACACCTAACCGATAAATCAGTTTCTGTGAAAAACGAAACCAATACAAATTCTGTTTCGGAAATGAAATCGATACGCAAATCAATAATCCGAATGTGTTACCCTTACCTTACCTTAAGCACAAATTTGTCGGTTTCAGTTCTGATTCTGTAACACACTTCTGATTAATTGTACTTATATAAAATTATTGTAAAAGTTGTACACACACATATATACTATAACCAAATTTGAGCACAAATGCTTTTTCTTTTTTTTTTTTGGACTTCCGGTTAGCAATTTTTCCCACATTCCTATACATACCTTTATATCACGTGGTTGTTTCATCTCCTGACGGCGTGTCGCCCCACCTGGCTGATCGGCGTATACCAAATTGCGTATGGCACCCCGGAATCTCGGCTCGAAGATCACGCTTGGCAAGGCTAATAATGCCAACTTTGTGCTGTACCTACACACCGTACATCAAGAATGTGTCGATATACACAAATACATATGCATTAGAAAAGTGTTGTCATAGCAAACCTATGGTTAAGCTCCTTTTTGCAATATCAACTTAGCTCAATAAAAGCGGTTAAATCACAACTTTTTAGTGAAAATCGAGATTAAACGCGAATTATGAGTTAATTCGCTATTGCAAAAGTGACCTTGAAAAATTTCTTTGCTTATTTTTCTTTTGCACTCGTAAATATGTATTGGTAAATGAATGCATACATACAATCATGCAAATGTGGATATGATAATAATTATGTCCTTTTCGCCAAACAATCCATGAGTATTACTAAGAATGAAATAATAGTAGCCGAGTTGATGTAACTCCAACATTATTTGTATACGAATGTAATTGTACAAAGCCAGTTAATTGTATATTATATTCATCTGTCATTAAAATCGCTTAAGTAATTCTTGAAAAGGCTTTGCTATGAGAAATCGGAACACGTTGAAAGTTACAACTTAGTGAGCCTCTGACGCTGGTCTATTTCATATTCACTGCAGATGGAAGGGATACCAGCATATTTGCAGTTAACGAGTGTCCAACACAAAGGCCGAGCTGATTTCAGGTAAGACAATAAGATAACTGTGTCTCTAAGCTTTAAGTGGCTTTAAGCCCCGTCCTTTTGAAATTATTAATATGAAACTTGTGAAAACGGAAATAGAGTTATGCAGTAGATAATTGGATGACAGAAAAATCATGTCCTCACCAGCCTAGACTAATATCCAATTGTAAACAGAAGGCGGCCACAATAGCCGGCTAGTTATCATACTAATATTCGGAAGACCAAGTTTCACGTGGTCAAAAAAATTTTAAGAAAATAAATTTTCCTAATTATGATCGGCCTTCGATGGAGAATGTCCAGTCATGCGAATGCTTTTTTGACATGAATTAAAAGCTTCTCATAAAAATCCATCGGTACTTCGGAGGCGGCTTCACCATTTGTTTGACACACAACACAAATGAAAAGCGGAAGTCAGCCGAAAGTTGCTTTGGAGCGCTTGGGTCAAGTTAGTAATTTGAAGAAAGAGCAACTGAGATTATTGCTTCTGTAGCCCAAAATGTTCCACGTCGTTTTTATGGCATTCCACAAACGTCATCAGGCAGTAATTTGCATGAAGACTTGGATCTTAAGGCTTATATAGTTTAGTTGACACAAGAACTCAAGCCGGCGATCATCAACATACTCGTGTCTTTTCTAATTGGGTACTTGAAATGCATGGAAATGATCCGGATTTTCATCGAAAAATAATCTTGAATTATGAGGCTCATTTACGCCTCAATGGCTATGCCAGTGCGGTGAATGGATTGCTCTATCGAAAGAGGATGAATAATTCATTATGGCCGAAATTGGATGGTATTGATGTGGATAACAATTTTGTTTTCAACACAAGGGAAACGATTCCGTAACGTGTTATCTCTCGAATCGTGATCGCTATTGGCCACCGAGATCTCGTGATTTAACAACTTGTGATTCTTCCTTCTAGGCTACGTGAAAGTTAAGGTTTACGCCAACAGGCCAAAACCGGTTCTAAGCCAACTCCTAACGGCTGGATTTGATATATATATATAAATATATAGAATTGATTATTCAACAGACTTTTCATGTTAATTTTATGCAAGAAAATAGATTATTTTTTGGAAGAACCTGTGTATCAAAACATTCCCTTCAAATGTGCTCATAGGAAATAATTTCATTTGGCGAAAAGGACAAAACCAATTTTCTATTTCTCGGTAGATCACCAACCAATTTGGCATGCCGCCTACGTAGACATCAGAGTTGGTGGCGAATTTCCCAAATTGAAATTCCTTGCCCTTAGTTGTACTACTCTGCGACACGCCATCCACAATAAGCGAAGTTTGTTCATCATTGCGCAGCACCTACAATCATAAGAATAACGCATATACATATATAGAAATCAACTACAATTTTCCAACTCCATCCACCCCTCATCACCGCTTTTTTAACTTACCTGCACTTTATGCCAATGACCATCATGCAATTCTCTGCCCACAGTTATGATATGCGCACCGCCACCCAAATTATAACGCAAACGCAATGCACCCTCCACCAGCTTGAGCTCGAAAAAGTCATAAGTACCGCCATCATCGGTGTAAAGCACCAAACCATTGGGCTGCTCAGTCTTGAATTCCAGCTCTAGCGAACCGTTGAGTCCCGTATACCATTTGCGAAATTGGGCAAAAGAAGTTTGCGAACCATCCAACTGGAAAGCTTGACATGGTGAAACAAGCATTGTACACAACAACAGCAAACCGGTGACGGCATACACCGAGGCGGGTATTTTTATCGGCAGCAATGGCGAGTGCAACTTTTGATGCTGTTTCAGACGGCCGCAACTCGCGAATGGCGTTAGTGATGATGTGAATACATCGTATGCAGTTGGTGGATAGCCTTCAATGTGTTCGCCCTCTGCAATGGATGAGGATGGTCTCACATTGTTTGCATTGGTGTTATTTCGTAATTTTGAGGAACTGGCATTGATTGCATTCCCATTGCTATTGTTCTTGTGCTGTCGCCGTAATGTTTGCCGAAGTGGCAGTTTTGCTTGCAGCTGTTGCTGTGGTTGTTGTACAGTGGTGTTTAGTTGTTGGTAAATGCTGTCATTGTTAGAACAGCTGCCACTCACACTATTTCGGCCATGGCTGCTGCTGAAGTCGTTGCTATGCCGATGTAACTGACAGTCACTAATACTGTCCTGGCTGTTGTTGGCATTGCTGTTGCTACAACATCTACTACTGCTACCGGGGCTGCATATTGTGGCACTCATTGCATATGCGCTAAAATTGCTTAGACGCCTGCTACCACCTTCACCCGGCAGATCATTATGGTCGCTTAAGGACATGCTGCTTGAAAGTGTAGCGCTGCACTAGTGTTGCATATTCTCAGGCGCTGGCAATTTTTACGCGTGTTTATATGTAATTGTATAGATATTTTGTGTGTGTGCAAGCGTGTAAGTTTTTCTAAAGAAATATTTTGATATGTTCCAAAAGTTATGCTTAAATGCGAGTTCAACGCTAAAAATTATAGCCGCAATTAGCGTGTAACACAAAACATATGTTCATACGCCTAAAAGCACACTCTACGTTATGCACGCTCTCTTTTCTATTCGGTTTTTGTTCATATTAAGCGCATTTTGCGCTTATACATTTTTTATAATGTGCATTTGCATTCCTGATGTCCTTGTCAGATTATATTATAAATTTTATATATATTTTCACGTGCATACTCGTACATATGTATGTTCGTATATTCGTTTGATTTGCCTCCCAGATATTCTTCTAAGTTTGTAATTTTTACACTTCGGCTGCTACCATGCTGCTGTTGAGTTTAACGGTATGAGTTGTCGTTTATTTGCACATGAAATCCTTGAAGTACTTTTATATTTGACAAAAATCACTCGTACACACACACACATACACGTATGCACCTTGAGAGATCTGACGTTGTGCGGTGCACGTGTATGTTTGTTATGTTTGGCTGTGTGTGGTCGCGTACTACTATAACGGCTTCTTCTGTGCACTTAAATTGCGTGTGTAAGTTTCATTGAATTGTATTTGCACTCTTTACACTAACACTGTTTCCTCTCTTCTCCACTTTTCTCTCTCTCCCTTTCTCACACAGGCTAACTTGCTTTTTCAAATATTTACAAACATACGAATTCCTTCACTTGACTCCACTTCTATTTATCGCACGATTATGTTGTTGCAATTTGTGTACGAACGTGTTTGTGTTTGTGTTTGTTTTTATTTAACTTTTTTCAGCACATTTTCTATGAAAGCTTTGAAAAAGCTTCTCTCACTGATTTTTGTGTGCACAGAGCGGCGTTAACTTGAGCTTTCCCTCTCTCTATCATATCGCTCTCGGAATTATTTGGTCAACTGTCGTTATTTTTCATTGATATCATCGCTGTGTTGGTTGTTTACATATTCACATAAACGTGCATAGACGAATTGAAGCAGGCAGCGCTAATAAGTATGCTAAGATTTTTAACACGTTTTTAAACTAATTTTCGAAATAGAAGCGGACGGTTGGTCGGTGTTACGTAGTAGTTGATTGGTTAATTATTTTAAGATTGCTTAACTATTTGATTGTTTTTTTTTTTTGTTTTGCTATTTTCTTTAACTTATGTAAACATTTAAACATTTAGATGAGTTTTTACTGATTTTGCAGGCATTTTTGATTATATTTTTACCATTTCTAACGGTTGTTGTGGATTATTCTCTGCAAGTAAAAAATATAGGCATTTTTACATTTAACCGTTCGAGTCGTAATTCTGCGGCAAGTCGTTGGCAAGCGGCATACATAAATACTACTTTACTTGAAATGCGAGTAATGTCCAAATAGTATTAAAATTAGTTGCTTTATTTAATTGATTTTAATTATTTTTTAGTCTAATTTTTTTAATTTATTTCACTTTATTATATGCTATTTCTTGATTTCATTTTATTTCTTTTATTTATTTTTTATTATTTGTTGTGCCATTGTATTAATGTTTTCATTTAATATTATTTCATTTTAATTTATTATAATTTTTTTTAATTTTATTTGTTATATGAATACATTCATTTATTTTTGATTTTAGTTAATATTATTTTATCTTATTATTTCCTTTTATTTTATATTACTTTTTTATATTATTTTTTATATATTATTGTATATTCTATTATTTTACACATTATTGTTTTAATTAATTTCATTTATTTTTTTTAATTCATTTTATTTAACTTCTTTTAACTTTATTTTTTTATATTTCATTTAATTTTCTTCTCTTTTTTTATTTTATTTTATTTGATTTCCTTCGTTTTATTTTATTTTATTTCATTTAAATTTATTTTACTTTTTTATTATTTTTTGATTAAATTAAATTTTTTAATTTTATTTATTTTTATTTTATCTGATTTTCTTCTTTATTACTTAAATTTATAATTTTTTTTATTTTCTTTTTCTTTCTTTTTTATTTCATTCCATTTTTTATATTACTTAATTTTTCATAGTTTTCATAATAATATTTTATTTCATTTACTATTCTATTTTATATTTATTTATTTTTTATTATATTATTATCATTAATTTGTTAGCCTTTTCATATAAAATTCATTACGTAGCTAAACTCTTAACAGCTGCTGTGTGACTGCTACGAAACCAGCGGCCACGACTATGACCACTCAAGTGCCACTAATGTTTGTTGTTTTTAGGTTACACCAATGTGTAGATAAAGGTTTTGAGGGTCGCGGAGATGCGTAGAAAGCTCAACTGCTATCTCTGTCCCTTACCGCTCAATGCCACACTTCGTTCGCAATGTGCTTGGTCCCTCAATCTAAGTACATGTACATACTAAAATTTGTGAAAAAGTTTATCAAACCAATTTTTCCACTATTATTTTCTACATTCCATTAGTGTTGAAATGAGAATATTGAAATGGCATACACGGTTTTCATTTCATGTTAATAAATTTTATTAAATACCCCACAAATGTATTCATTTTAATTAAACTTTAGGAAAAATTTCCATTGATTTTTAGTTATAAACACACGAACGCGTGTCATAAGTATCCACTTCTTATGTCCTTAAGTGCTCGTTGCTCCTGTGTGGCTCATAGAAAATTTAATATTTAGTATACGCAACTTTTCGAAGATTTCTTCTTCTTTACATTTTAGCATATTTGCAGCTCATTAATTTATTAATTTTTTATTCATATATTTATTTATACTTTTTCCATCGAAATTCACTTTTGAAATGCAACTGAGATATTTTCTTTATATGAAATTATTTTTCACAATTTTTTCACATTCACCTCTGCCAATTTTTGGTTCTATTATCGATCCACACTGCAATCGCGACGAAACTAGACTGCAATTTTCTGCCCTGTGTATTCCTGCGTAGAGTTTTCAACGGCAGCTTCGTTCGGGATGCTCATATTCACACACATACACACATATGCGCATACACCAACACAATCATAGTTACATGGATAAGAGCTATGTTCGTTCTCTAACTTTTGGCTATCGGACATGGTGTGGAAAGCTCATTTCGCGGGCGAATACCGAAATACTCGACAGTTGAGCTTTACTTTGACGTCTTTATGAGGCGTTGCGGCGGCGGCTAAGTGTAGTCATATAAAGTACACCCACATATTTACACGCATACTCGTACATACTCATTCATGTTCGTAGTAAATTTTGCCTACAATTCATATCAACTTGATTTATAGTCGAACACCCACATATACTGTTATCGGCGGTTGACACTCGCAAGTGGAGAGGAAAGCAGTCTATTGCATGGCCAACATGATAGAGAGGTTCATAACCTGTATATAGAGATTAGGGTGAGTACTTAGTTGAGAGAAACTTTGATTTGTGAATATTTTTAATATCAATGAACTTGAATTGGAGATTATTGCACATCGAAAGACGAGGCTTAGGATCTTAGACTTGAAGACCCCAAAAAAACACTTAATTCTCCGATTTTCGCTTTTGTTTTGCATCTATAAGAACCAATAAAAATGTCTAAAATTTCAGACAACAGATTACATGGCTAATGCTGGCCCAGAAGAAGTCTTCTGAAAAGATGTGGCGATCTCCGAAACAGCTGCCAGTTTTACCTTTTTTTTGTTTGATTCATAACAAAAATATTTAATTCATACAAATAAATAGGCCTTCAGCTCATTAAAAATTTATAATAAAAAAGTATACAAAAAGTTAAAGTTTGTAAATATAAAAAGGGTAAAAAATAAATGGTTAAAATTTTAATAAGACCAAGGAAAAAGTGCCATGTCTTTATACTTTTACTTTTTTTTTGACAGACTTTTGACCAAAACCTCATATCTATATGCCTATAGTTGTCCAATTTCGACGATTTTCAATGCCAATGTTTATTTGTAAATACGAATGTGCGAGTGTAGTATTAAATTAGATGGTTTTTTGACTTTTAAACTCGTCGTTCTGAGCATATCGGTATAAATTTGTATGGTTCTATCTCTTCTCCTTCTGGTTCTTACATACATATTAAGTTTGGTAAAAAGAAATCCATTATTTTTCAAAATATTTATCTGAAACTCTCGTGGTAAAACACTCAACGAAGTACAGTATTGCCATAGTCTTGGTACCTGGACACAGGGACATCCCTGGCAATTGCATAGCAGATGAACTAGTAAGGGAAGGAACCCTTCTATCTACAATAAAACACGCAAATGATGCTGGCTTACCTTTGTCCACGGCTAAATACATGCTTAAACTAGCCAGGGAAGCTGACTCACAATGGTTGAACGAGATCACGTGTAACGTGACCGTGTGGTCGAAATTGGACGCGAAAAAATCTAAACTTCCTATCCTTCCTATCGGTTCTCCATTAGCGCAACGACTGGTATAATAACTGGACAGTGTTTAATGGGGATTAGGACGGGATTTTACTCTAACGACTTCTGCCGCGGCTGTAGGGACACAGAGGAGGAGGAGACCATAGAGCACTACCTCTGGCACTGCCCGACCTTGACATCCGCGGGACACAAGTTTCTTGGAACACACTTCTTCGACTGTCTCGCTGAGTTGGCCTCAGTGAACATTGGAAATCTCGTTGCATTTATAAGGCACACAAAATGATTCGATCAGCGGTATCACAATTGGCCTATTGCCCTAAGTGTGCTGAGGTTGACCAGCATCAGCTCTCATAACTCCGATCGGATTCCGCTAGATCGCGTTAAAAAGACGATATTTCGTACTTTGTCGGTTTTGTGTTGGGTTGATTCAGTTTTGTTTAAGCCTGCGACAAAGATGGACAAAGAAAATACGCTATATTTTACAGGTTTTCTTCAATAAGAGTGAAAACGCAAGCCAAGCGGCTGACAACGTGAATAGCGTTTATGCTCCTGATACTGTTACAGTCAAACATGCACAATTTCGGAGAAATAGAAGTATACATACATATGTATATATTTTTTCCAATTTCGTATGCAGCTCTCCTTGATCCTTTCAAATTTAGAGTGTGTTCAAAGTGTGAATAACGCTTTGAGTGGAATATACACGTATATATTTTTTAGCTACCCTAATATCTTTAAATATGTATGTGAGGCAGGTAAATGTTCATTCTTTTAAACTTATATGCAGATACTCTTGCCTGTGTTCTCAATTACGAATGTACAAGCATAAAACATTATTTTACAAATTTTAAAGGAAAATTTTAAAGGCCTATCTGCATATACATACATAGTAACTTCCAAAGTTATTGACATTTTACACACTATAAATTATTTGTATAAACTAAAATTTTTTTACGTTTCTATTGTTATTTCATATGCTCTGCTATTGTTGGGAAATGCAAATTATAAAATTCCTTCACATAAAAGATGTTGGGATGGAATTCATTAAATTTCAAAAACTGCACACTTCTCTTGTATTGTACAAGTAAATTAAAAGCTCACTTTTTCACTCCTTTGAAAAATTCTTTATTTTGGTCGAATTTACCTTCGCCTAACTTTTGTAACAATGAGATTATTTATTAAAATTTTTTAGACACCTTACATAGTATTTTTTATTAGTTTTACGATTATTTTTCCGTTTTTAAACAAGTTTTTTTTCCAGCCATGCGATATTTTACAAGGTTCTTACCCTGTGAGATATGACATTCGCCTGAGATTTGGTATTTGCGTTATAAAGATGTTTATCTTTTATTGCGCATGTCAACTAGTAAAGAGCTTTTCTGTTAACCGAAATAAAATATAGTTAACTTTCCGTCGTTCTTTAAATAATTATGGTATGACATATTCATCACAGAGAGATGCAAAGAAAATGAACAACGATTCAAGGTTTTGATAATAACACAGGAGAATGTATAGCAATTTAATATATTCAAAATTTAAAATATATAATATAATATAAAGAAATAAAAATTAATATTAAATTAAATTGATCAGAAAATCTGGAATAATTTCAAAGTCTATGTTAATGTTCATATATCATTTATTAAATGCAGCGATGATTTTTTCACTAAATTGTTATCGTCCATACCTTGCAGCTCTCCGTGTTTTGTATATACCTTGTAAATGCACAATCAAAATTAGTTTCTATTTTCGTGCACAGCACTCTTTAGCCGGCGAAACCCCCAACAGATATGAGATCGATAAATCAGCTGTTATTTGTTATCGATTATATGCCGGTATATGCTGATCAAATAAATCACCTGTTTATATGACGTTATTGTTAGGCCAATATAAATTTGTATACATATGTAAATACATTTTTGATTTACTAGAGTCCTATTATTTTCTATATAATTGAAACATATTACATAATGATCCAGCTACGTCCAGCCATATATAGCCTAGTGCTGAAGCCAGTCGTTAATCTCGCAGCAATGCAACGCTACAATCACACGGAAAAGAAAACACAACTAAGTAATGGTATCGCTATTAATTATGTACAGAGTGGCAAAGGTGACAAAAGTGTATTGCTAATGCCCGGTGCACTTGGTTCTGCGTGGACTGATTTCAAACCACAAATTGAAAAGTTGCCTGAACTACTTCCAAATCATACAATCATTGCTTGGGACCCACCAGGCTACGGAAAGTCTCAACCACCCGCACGTCAATTTGATTTGGATTTCTTCCAAAAAGATGCAAGCTTTGCCGCTGATCTTATGCGTGCTTTGGGTAGACCCAAATTTTCCATATTAGGTTGGAGTGATGGTGGCATAACTGGTATTATAGTGGCAGGTCGCTATGTTGAATGTGTTGAGAAATTGATAATTTGGGGAGCAGGCGCGTATTTGAATGCAGAAGAAGAGAAAGCGTTACATGGTAAATTACCTTAATCTATAAATATACATACATACAACATACAAATAGTATTTTTTGACTTATTCTTAATCGTATTTATTACCTATTAATCTTACAGCCATACGGGATGTACAAAAGTGGTCGCAACGTATGCGTGAGCCAATGGAAAAAGTATATGGTGTAGAAGGTTTCGCCAAATTATGGTCAGACTGGGTTGACGCTGCCTCGGCAATTTTTAGACAACGTAAGGGAGACTTTTGTTGCGCTGAAGTAAATAAAATAAAAGCTCCCACATTTATATTGCATGGAAAAAAGGATCCAATGATTGCTGCCGAACATATTCCGTATTTAAGGGAACGAATACAATGCTGCCAGTAAGTTAACTGACAAACCTGAAAGTGAAAAACGAACTATTTTGATGATTTGTGCTATTTCGAACTTATATTTTGTAATTTTTTCAGATATTATGAATTCCCTGATGGTAAACATAATATTCATCTACGCTATGCTGATGAATTCAATAAATTAGTTGCGGAATTCTTGTTGAAAAAACCTTGAGATGTGATTTCAAAGATTTTAAATAGTCAAAAGAGCTCAGAATTTTTGTACAATTTTTACCTTATAGCTGCTTTCAAGGCGCTTTTTTCAAAATAATAAAACTGAAAAATCTGCATATCGAGCCCTACCTAAACGAATCTTTATTTATACATATATAACATATGTATGTTGTTATTGTAATATTTAGTTATTTGAAAACAAAACTCAATTTAAAGAAATTTTCCTATATAACGTCTCCTTCCTATGTGCATTTTCAATTTACTTTATTCGACCATTTATGTTAATGAAAATAAAGACAACCTTTTAAAGTTGTAGTTTTTTTATAATTGTTATTATTAATATCATGTACTCGACTTTTAATGAATTTTAAATAAATATGCATTTTAATCCTTTACAAAGCAACTTGTTTTAAGAGAACGAAATACTCAAATCATTTGTTAGTATGTATATTATATACATATTGATTAAATTTGTTTTGTATTTCGTAAGAGAATGCTGAAATTTACTCTAATTGCACCAATCTGCAGTATACATATATAAACATGTCTTTCAGCCTGATAGAAGTCTATTAAATTTATGAATATTTAACCGATTAGAATTTTAGTCACTGTGAGTGTGTTGCGGCCGCCGTACCCGAGTGCTTGACATTGCGTACTGCCATTCGGAAGATCAGGGTTCAAATCCTGGTACGACCAACATCCAAAAGTTGTGGAAAATTTATTGAAATAGAAAAAGTATAATAATCCCTTAATCAGGGAATTTCAACCCCTCCGAGTGTATTTCTGATATGAAATAAAGGCTCCTCATAAACATGGGAACCGGCTTTAGTATAAACGTGTAGGTGACTCCATTTATTGGAAAGAATATCAAGAGGCAAAAACCACAAATTGGAGGAGAGCCTCGGCCAAAAATCGCTTCAGCGGCTACAAAGCGCCAATTATATATATACGTGCACATACATATCCATATGTGTATACGTTTAAATAATCATCCGGAAATACTGATCTACAAAATACAGGGCTCACCATTATCGGTAGGGGAAAAACTTAAGTTATCATAATTAAATTGCAAATATAATGCTTACTCGTCAATTTTATTTTAGAAAAATGACACACTCAAGTAGTTTTTTTGGTAATAGTATGAAAAATGCGATACATTGAAAAGTTATTTAATTTCAAAAACTGTCTATTAAATTTCTTTTTATGATGTTCATATTACTGTTCTAGTTTCTTCCAAAAATTTTTTACAGTTTTAAATTCTTTCTAGTTAGCTGATAGTTCCTACTGAATCATGCAGTTTGATTATATTTTCAGTATAATTTAATACTAGCGATCCCGGCGAACTTACCGCTTCAACTCCATGCCTTTGGAATAAATACAGAGTGTAAAATAATATACATAGACTGTTTAAATATTGTGTGAATTATAAGAATATAAATTCCATCTGAATCGATTTATGAGAAAGAGTTTCTCGTATAAATCGGTCTCTGTGAAAAATAAATGTTGTCCGATTCAGCCTGATAGAATCCGATATGCGCACAAAATTTCTTAAAAATCATAATAATCGGTCCAGCAATTTCGGAGGAATTCGGTTATGAACACTGTGGCACGAAAATCTTACTTTTTAGATTGAGTTAAAGGAAAGAAAGTCGGCGTTATAAGCTTAAAATTAAGCAACGCGAATACAATTCTAATAATTTCTTAGGACTAGCGAACCTACAAAGCACCTTACATCTTTAATATTTTTTTCGACGAATTGGCGAATAGTCTTTAAAGCTTACTTGATGGTATAGTACTTACTTACTTTACTGGCGTAGACACCGCTTACACGATTATAGCCGGTATACAACAGTGCGCCACTCGTTTCTTCTTTTTGCTCTTTGACACCAATTGGAAATACGGAGTACAGCAGGGTCCTTCTCTACCTGGTCTTTCCAACTTTCGAAGCTTCGCATCCTTACGGATCACATGATGGTATAGACGTTCCATTGATTTCAATAGCGATTGGCCAGTAGCCTACCGTGTGAACTTCAAAAAAAGCTCCAAAAAGCTGGCAAAATAGATACATCAATTTCTGCACAACTATCCCATTTAACCCTCAAAGTGCTCTGCTCAATCAGTAAGAAACACGATCTCACATCCTGCGTCAATTATTGTCACACAAAATACTGTTTGTATAACAGTTTGTGACGGATCTAAAGCCATGGCCTTGCAGCTCGCTCAATAATAACAACTCGCATACGGGAGAAAGATATAAAGTAACACACATCTGACAATGATCAGCGACTATGAAGCTTGTATAAATGGCGCAGGCTTAGAATAGGGTAGTAATAAATCGAGTGCTGTAATAAAAGTTAGCTTCTGTAAAAATGGGTAAAGTCTTAAGTATCAGGGACAAGGTGAAGATCTATCCCCTCAGCTACAGGGACAGTCGACATGAGGAGCTCTAGTAGTCTACCCGTAAGCGCCTCGGCTCTGAAAGTATTTCGACTCAGTATAAGCCAGTGTACATGGACTAGGTGAGCAGAGACCCTTCCGAATCTTTTAAGCTTATTGTATTAAATAATAATCAGTTCAGGAGCTATGCTCAAGCCATTCACTTCGCAAAGGAAAATTAGATAAAAAAATATATATATACATACGAACATTTTTACTTACTTATTTATGAACATTCTGCACAAAACCGACAATAAACAATAAATATGCCAATAATTCATATTGTTACTACTATTTATTTACATATGTATGTACACAATTTGTTATTTAGCGACAAACAATAAAGCTTTTTATATTTTCAATTAATACTTCAAGCAAACTGTGCATGCAAAATGGGCACATAATCATCGTATTGAGCCTGATAAAAGTTACCAGCGATTGGAGAACCCAAATTATATTTCGCAATGTAATCTCTCGCCTTCACACCAATACGCCCTTCACGAGACCTATGAATATAAATGAAGTAAGAAATTTAAAGTATATTAATGGCACATACACTTGCATACTTCTGTACGTATACACTCGTATATATATACTTGTATATATTTCATAATGCCTGAACCTCATATGCAGATACTTTTTACTCACGTCTTCGGTATGAACTTTTCAGTTTCAATCTTGCCCGGCTGTTTGAAAACTAAGAAAACATAACGATGCAAGCCGGAACCTTTACTTGGACCGGAACCAATATATTCAGCAACAGTTTGACCTTCAGCCACTTTATTGCCGGGAATATTAACTACCAACCAATGTAAGATTTCACGATTTGTAGGCTCTGCACGAGAAGGCGCATCCGGATCAACCATGAACAAGGTGTAAAAGTCATTGTCATCTGCTTGCCAAGTGGCTGTTGGTTGATCCTTTACCTGAGTCGGTGTAAGCTCTTTGCCCGGTTCTACTTTTACACCGCTAGGATAAGAGAGCTTTGCCATAAATACAAAAAAAAAAAAATATTTGTAAAAATAATTTCAGTATGAGTACATGTCAAAAGTATGTACTATGTCAAATGAAAAAATCACCTGCACTAATCCTTTAGGACCGACATCAACAATATCAGGTATAATGCCGCTAGAGTCCATATTCTGTATCTTCCTCAATTGCTTACGGGAACAAAACTAAAAGCCAGTAAACTGAAATTGTTATTTATAGCTCTAACTGTAATCACTGTGAACGTAATCTACATTCATACACGTATAATTTATATTCATATTCGATTTGATAAATTTTGCCAAAACGTTGCAAACACTGATAACGATATGTTTTTAGATATACTTATACGAGTTACGTTTGGCTTGCATTTGTACCGCGTTATCAAAGTTCTTTTATACCCAGCAAATGAAATTAAGAATGTTTAAAACACAGCAGGAGGCTAAATTATAATTTTATATTGTAATAAATAATTTGCCTTTTCTAAGATGAATAACTGACGCTCATCCCACAACATCGTGTTTGGAGAGCCTGAACCGCTGGCCACAGATATATACGTGAAACTTGAAGGAAAATATTGGAAGAATGTACCAGGGATCAATCTGCTTGACATTCGGAAATAGGAAATACAGTGAAACCTCCCTCAGACGTCCAAGAGAGCCAAGTCAGCTCAAAATTTCAAATTATTTTAATACTCACCTCATCGTGGTGCAAAAGCAAATTTTTGTCTTCCACAGGTAATATTCCTTATTGACCGTTTTACCCTGTGGCAGGAACTCATGATGCACCACGCTCCTGCAATTCATTTCTTCGTCTGTTGTTGAAGTGCTCGGGCGTCCGGCACGCTCTTCGTCGTTCACATCTTCTCGGCCTTCTGAGAACATTTTGTACCACCGATAAACGTTGCTTCGATCCAAAGAAGCTTCTCCGTATGCCACAGTCAACATTCGGAATGCATCCGCGCACTTAATTTCGTTTTTCACACAAAATTTGATACAAGTTCTTTGATCCATTTTTTTGAATAGGTAAAAATCGAAGACCATCCAAAACACAAAATGGCCTAGCTTGTCGGCATAAGTGGCAGACATGAGTACCAACATAACGCTACAAAAAAAAAACAAAATTTGATTATACGTAACCCGCGAAAATTCAAAATTCGCGATACTTTTTGAACACACCTCGTATGTAGGAAAAGTTTTTGTCAATGCTGATTCCCTTGACGTCAATGCTGTCGCTCATATGAGTTCGGCTTGTATGGCATTGCTGCCTTTTTTACGCCAATAATGTTTTCTTTTGGTATCAATGCTGCTGCTCAGCTGTGTTCTGTTTGTCCGACAAGGATGACGAAACTGCACGAGGAAACGAAGAGAGAATGATGCACACTAGAAATGTAAACATCACAATTATCATTTCGGCTTTAAGAAAGTGATAGAAAAATCATACTACGAGATGACGGTATATGACATCATGGTTCTTTTTCTTCCCATACGTAAGAAGAGCCGCGATGAGGCGTTCAGAACGTATGTTTTGGAGATACCTCAGTCAGAGTGCGAATAGTGATTCGTCAATTCGATAACAATAAATAAAGCTACTTTCGATGATCAATATTGCTTTGTATGCTCTACACCCAAAGTAAATCCTAAAATCCTGCAGAATGTATTGTGTGGAAGACGAAAGACCACTGTCTACAAACTGATTTGACCTTATCAGTGTGCGTTTAGCCATGGTAAATCAACCATTGACTAGATATGCATATGCACTATACGCCAAATATTTTATAAGACCAGTGAAAAGGTGATCGACGCACACCGTCTCTTCGTCGATTTTTGAGCAGCCCTTGAAAAGCACGAAAATAGCTGACTCTATGTCGCTATGTCTGAATGTGGTATACGGATATGCAAGCTCAAGCTACGTAAGTATTGGCAAGGAACTCTCTAAGCCGTGCTTCATTGGCGTCAATAACCATGCCGGATAAAGATGTCCTAGTGAACGAGGACAACACGAAATATCCTCGGTTGTCAAACAAACAGTCATCGCTTTCGTGGATTTGGCCAACGCGTCACTGTTGGCAGGGAATACTTGGAACCAGTATTAACACCAACAACAATATCAGCATTGAAATTCAACGTAGAGCCACTCTTGCCAGCAAGTATCACTTTGGACGGGACAAGCAAATGAAAAGCGAAGTAGTCCCTCGACGAACAAGGACCAAACTCATCATTCCCGTCCTGCTATATGGCGCAGAGGCATAGACGATGACAACATCGGATGAATCGGCCTTGGGAGTCTTGTAGAGAAAGGTTTCGCATAAGATTTATGGTCCTCTACGCATCTACAGAGAGTAATATAATGGAAGTGATGGAATATATATTTGTTATAAGGACTTTGCCATACACAACATTGGATAATGGTCAGACATACGTTTATTAAAAATTGTAAAAAGAGATAAAATAAATGATTTATACACCATGGTGGTCCGGCAATTGTCGTTTATCAAGTTCGGTACCCCCTGCGGGTTCGGGGTTCAAGAATTTACCCGCGGTAAGGCGTGCCTGTCGTAAGAGGCGTTTAAAATCCAATAGTTCCTGCGACAGTCGGGTGTTTTTACCGGAACGACCCGGATTTTTATCCGGCCAATGACTGTCACTCCCGCAATATTCCCCAAAAAGTACTTTGGGGAATAATTTTGCAGTTGCAACAACAACAACAACCAAGTTTGGTTGAAACAAAGGATTTTCTAATAAGAGGTGTTATTTTGAATTGCCTGCTATTCCGGTAGACGTCACTTTAGAAGACGTAACTTTTTGACATCTCACAAGTAAAAGCTACGCAAATAATAAAAATGGATTGATACACGCTTCATGTGGACTGATGACGCGAGGCTTGCGTACCGCTACAACAACGACATGGCGCTGCTTTCCACCTCGCCAAACTGTAGCTTCTCGAGCTCGGAAAAGCCAAGATTTATTGTTGAAAAGCCTCTTTATCCTCAACGTGTAACTGTTTGGTGCTGTTTATGGTACGACAGGATCATTGGACTATACTTTTTCGAAAATGCGCAAACAAGAGAGACGATTGATTATTTTTTATGGACGGATCTGGACAACGTTTACTTTCAACAAGACGGGGCTGCGTATCACACAAGCAGCGAAACCAAGGGAAAGGGAAGATTAAAACAACACCTCTTATAGGAAAACCCGTTATCTCTGCTTTCGTACAAACAGGCGGCCAGATGGATAGACAGACTGAGGGGCTGGCTAATCAACTCAACTCGTCATTTTGATGGATCTATCTCTTGTTCTTCTTTTGGTACTTAGATACTTCGAATCAAAGTTAATTTGTTATTTCATGTACATTAAAGGCGTAAAAGTAACGAATGACCGAATTCTAATTCAACTTTAAAAACTAAGTAACTAATGTAGCATACCTTTCGGCGAAACTAGCATCTACTAGCTATATATCTGCCGGCTTAGCCAAGTTGAGCAAAATTTTCACTAATTTTTCCTTTTGTTTATAGAAAATTTGTATATTTTCTAAGCTTACTTGGGTAAAACGAAAGTTGATTGATAAAAAAAAAACTATTTATAAAAGAATTAAAGACTTTTGAATAATAATTAATATTTATTTGTCATAACTATCAATTCAATTAACACTTTTAACATAATTATAATATTTCTAGATGTTCGAGTTTTGTGTACTTGATTTATTCATACATAAATATTTATTATCTTATGTCTAAATGTTTATACTTATACAACAGAGAGTAATAGCAATAACATTCAAATTGCTTTAATTGGTTGTTGAAAAGTTTGACAAATAGAAAACATTTTTGGGATTACAAGATTGTACTAATATGAAAAAAAGACAATTTTGTGTATAGCTTTGCCAGCACATTTCTCTACGCTCCACTTTAAGTGCGCCATATACACAGGATGTAAATGTTTCATGCCGAAATTCGATTTTCTTATTCTCTTTCAATGGTTGCTACATATATGCTTATGCATTCTATGTAGTGTTGTCTTTTCGAGTATTATGTTATTATATACTGTTTAGATTATACCTCAGAGTAATTTTCATTTAAGTATGTTGAATTGAATAAGCAACATTAATCAAAAATATACTTAAAAGGAATTTCGACAAGATAGATTGCAACATCTTCAGTCGTCCAACATTTACCAAGTTTGTTCGTTAAGGAAACGCTTTTAAAGTTGGCGTTTATATTATATGTGAAAAATAAAAATATAAAAGTTTTAATCATAAAATATATAAAGTTTTAGGAATATACATACGGCTGTGCCAAGTGCAGCGATACAAAATTAGATTATGATAGCATTTTTGGTTAAATAATATAATTAATATGCATATACATATGTATGTATGTAGATAATGATGAATGTACATTACAGAACTAGTGTGGAATATAACGTGTTCAATTTGATTGAGAATACCAATTGTAAAATTCATTATTCTTCTAATCGCCCTCACTGTGAATTCGGCTTAACAGCGAGTTTCGTAGAGGCCGCTACGTCCAATATAACGTACCCATTTCACAACATCGTGATCAGAATAGTTGAGCTTTGGTTCAAAGACTTTCAGATAGCGAACTTTAAAGCCAGATGGCGCAAATGGTACTTCGAAATTCATTGAAATTGGTGGGCGTGTCCATTTCTTTTTAGTATCTGTCTCTAGCAATTCAATTTCAGCCGATAATTGAGTTTCTTTCATGCCGGCCATACGTTTTATTTTCCAAACAATTGCATTATCCGAAGCTTTATATTTGGCTTTACCCTTCAAGCAGATCAACTGCACCCCGGAAGTATTCAATGGTGTTGGGATTTTTACCTCAATTTTCTGACCCAATAGTGAGGGTTTGAAATTCGATTTCAGGACTACTTTTACTTCCATTTTGGTACGTCCTACTTCCCGAACGAGTGGTATAACACGGAATGGCAATGATATATCTTTGGTGGTACGATAGCGCATGAGCTCAAATTCTCCATCAGGTGGAATAAAACTAATGGAGTGCTCTGTTTCGAACTTGCTTAATTTAACGCATTGATGGAACTGACAATCATCGATTACGACAACAGGCTTGCCAGAACGCGAGGTTTCCGCTTCGGAATTGCCACCAATGCCGCGACCCTTTGACTCCATAACGATTTTATCGTTAATACCAAATTTACATTCAGGCATACCTGCAAAAAGTAGATATAGAGCAATACTTTAATGTCAATTTATTATTAGTTTGTCTACGCTGCATACCCGAAAGGTAAGATTTCATAACCACTTTTCCAGCAACGTGGGCTGAAAGCACTTGCCCTTGTGGACTCATCAGCAGATTCACGTACTCTAACACGTCGAGGAAAAGTTCATTGCGACGGTATTTTATTCCTTCACGCCGCCAACCAATCTGGCCGGTTACTTGTGAGGTGATTTGCATTTGTTCCTCCTTGGTGGCTGATTTGATACCCTGTTGCGTGATGAACGTCTTCAGCGTGCCCGAGTCCGTGTTCTGCGGATAGCCGAAGTCGAGTATCTCATCGAGCAGTTCATAAATTAGAACGAAATTGTTCTTGATGTTTTCCTCAGAAATTTTACCAAAGTATGACTGCATCACTTCGATTATTTTCAATAGGAATTCAAACACCATTGCTGCGTTCACATTTTGCTTCGTAACTGCAGCCAGCCAAATGTTGGCACGCTGAAAAATACTCATTATTATTTCGAATGCTATTTGATTTTTTCAATACGAAATAATAATACCTTGATATGGAAAAAGCTGGTTCGTGCGATATTCGTTACCGGGGAACGCACTTGCTGCCTTGCATGGATGACGTTGACACGGAAAGCGTCGACTGCATTACGACCAATATCATCACGATACACACGACTAATTAACACCTCCCCTTTGTGATTATACACAAATAATCCACCAATCATTTTGGGAAAAGTGCTTTCTACCTGTTCTTGGCAAATTAAATTAATTAAAACTCCCAATTAAAGATAAACTTATTAGTTTTTCACTCTTCTACGATTATCGATCAACACCCTCTTTTTTCAATACTCCTGACAGTTGCCATGAATTCGCCTTCATTAATAACACACAGGGTTGCATAGCGCCAACATTTCCTTTTTTATTTTATTAATATGCTAAAATTTTCATTTTTTAATTAAATATTCCCTTCCGTTTTACGAAAACTAAATTTGCCTTTAAGAAGTGATTTGATAAAAATATAATATGAAATTATCGAAAAAATATATAAGTTCGAGCTGAAAATGTCATGAACACTGCCATCAGAACCGCAGCCAACATTTGTCATTGCATGACTTTGCGGCTTAAACAACAAAAAATAATTCGCTGGTCTTCAACTGAGTTCATTTGTGATTTTCAACAATATTAAGAGAAAATTAGATAAAAAATGCCTGTCGAAAACTTGGAAGAAGAGGGCTTGGAAAAGAATCCAAAACTCGAATTAGCCCAGTATAAGTTCCTGTTGTCATTACCCGAACATAAACAAGATACTGCTTTGAAAGCAAAACTACTCGATGCAGTACGTGCTGATAATATGGCTCCATGGTACGAGCATATATGTGTGGAACTGAACTGGACAGTGGATAAGGATCTGCTTGCGCGGATGCGTGAACAAAACCGTTTGGAGCTAGCCAAATTGGATGAGGCCATCGAAGATGCGGAAAAGAATTTGGGAGAAATGGAAGTGCGAGAAGCTAATTTGAAGAAGTCTGAATATTTGTGTCGAATTGGTGACAAGGTCGCTGCTGAATCGGCTTTCCGTAAAACATATGAAAAAACCGTCTCATTGGGTCATCGTTTGGATATTATTTTCCATCTTATCCGACTTGGTCTCTTTTACTTGGATCATGATCTAATTACTCGCAATATTGATAAGGCAAAGCATCTTATTGAAGAAGGTGGCGATTGGGATCGACGCAATCGTTTAAAAGTCTACCAAGGCATATATTCTGTTGCTGTGCGCGATTTTAAAGCAGCTGCTAACTTCTTTTTGGATACCGTCAGCACCTTCACCTCATATGAACTAATGGATTATCCTACATTCGTCCGCTATACAGTTTATGTGGCAATGATTGCTCTACCACGTAATGAATTGCGTGACAAAGTAGTGAAAGGCGCAGAAATTCAGGAAGTACTCCACGGTCTGCCCGACGTAAAACAATATTTGTTCGCCTTATACAACTGTCATTATGCCGAGTTTTTCAAACATCTGGCTGATGTAGAGCTGGTATTGCGAAGTGACTATTTAGCTAATCCACATTACCGTTTCTACATCCGCGAAATGCGCATTCTTGCTTACACTCAACTGCTTGAATCGTATCGCTCGTTAACCTTACAATATATGGCTGAAGCATTCGGTGTAGATGTAGATTACATAGACCAAGAGCTGTCACGTTTCATTGCTGCTGGTCGGCTACATGCAAAGGTAGACCGTGTCGGTGGAATCGTTGAAACTAATCGGCCAGATAATAAGAACTGGCAGTATCAAGCTACTATTAAGCAGGGTGATCTGCTACTCAACCGTATTCAGAAGCTGAGTCGTGTCATTAATATTTAAACTGTAAAACCACCATTGACATTAACCGATTTGTATGATTAAAATTTGAAATAAAAACAAATTAATTCCCCAAATTATATGTATTTTATTTAAAAAAAAATATATATATACAAGTATATGTATTCTTAAGAATGCTAACATTGTGATAAATTGTCATAAATTGTTTATTACATCAAACAAAAAGGGTATGAGTGTTGATAAAAAATTCTTTGGATTTGTTTGTTGTACGTAGAGTTTCAACAAGTACGAGTATTTTTTTAACCTTTAGCTTAAACTATTGAGTTGCTGCGTTCTTTGGTAATGTGAAACGTGCAAATTTGCCTATGTCTCAAATATTTATATCATATTTCTAATTTCTATTTGTTTCAGGAATCACCAATTTCATTTTTGCACTTCCAGCCTGCACCGTTGTAATTGTTGTCTCTGTTGTTCATTTCATTTTCAAATTCATTTGGTCCCATCGCAGGCGTAGTTTGTCGAAATCCGCAGTCTAGGGGTCTTGAGTTGTCCGGATTCTCTTCTAACATTGTCTGATTATGTGCATTAGGAGTAGCGCGTGATGATGGAGGAGTATTTGTGCCCCTATCTTTGGTAAAATCGACAGCACCAGAAATATGTTGTTGTTGTTCATGCTGCTGTTGCAAATCCGCATTCTCATTACGATAATTATGTAAAACAGCGCTACCAGGTGCAGCGATTGCTGCCGCAGTAGCTGCAGCACTTAACAAGCTACTACCATGAGAAGCTAACGCCGAAAAATTGCTTAAATTATTTAAACTATTGCTACTGTTGCCATTGTTGCTCTGACGCCTCATATTCGTGCTAAGGTTTAGCAATGCATTCATCATTACTTTATTGCGTTGATAATCTTTGCGTAGATGCTGTCGTATTTCCGTGTGACAATGTTCATTGTTTGTCACAATTATCTCTCCAGTATCAGTGGTGGTAACACGAGCCTTACAATTAAATTTTCGCGATAAATTACACTGCCAATACTTCTTATCCTTGCGCACGTATTGAATGCCAAAGGTGTGACCGTCATGTACCAGTAGCGGTTTACCGCGTTGACTCAGCATAAACTCCAGCTTGCCGTGAAACCAGTGCTCACCAGGAGCAACTAAAGTATAGGTAATAGATTAGCGGTTTATAAACATTTTATAAAAGTCGTATTTTTATTTGAATTATGTTATGAAAAGTATGAGATTTGGTTAAGCGATCGTTATGATTTTGAAATTTGTTCATTCCGTGGACAAAACAAATGTTTAACTCTCCAGTTTATATGTTTATGTATGTATGTTGGTATCTATGTTGGTATGTATGTACGTGTTAAACCCTCATGAAATTTCAATTTACCAAATTTATTTTATTAATATCATATAAATTATTTATAAACTCACGAATGACATCTAATGTTGCATGCAACGGAACGTATGATGTAGCTTGTATGTATGCATATATAAGAACGAATTCACTTAACTTAGAATTAATAATATATGAATTTTTTATGTAGGTACATACCTCAATGTTTTGAAGGTTTTAATTATAAAGTTATAAAAACTTATTAGTTTATGGAGGGCGAACAGCTATTTCTTTTAGAATTCCAACTTAAACACATTTTTTCGTTCTCTAAAATCTTAATTTACATGAATAATAATACTTATGCCTTTTAAACTATGAAAAAAGACGTAAAAGATTGCATTCGTTGTTCATATGCACACATTTATGTACATATATCTCAGTTGGGCATAAAAATGTTGAGTATAACACTGCGTATACGTAATTTGGTGGCACATTTTGGTACTAGGTCCAATTAGCTTTTTTCATTAGTAGGTATAAATTTATTTTACCAAAAAAATAGAGAAAAACAAATTTGGATCTATGCGTATGTATGTATGTATGTAAATACATATATTTAACGCAACGAAGTTTCCTTCTTGAACGTTTAAGCGACTTTCAGCCCGATTATTCTTGCACACATGAATGCACATATAGTTTTAAATCGTATCTGAGCGATTTCATGCTGATATCTATTTCACAAATTGCATTCAAATCATAAGTACAACGATGATATCGATATGCTTTCAGGTGATTTAATCTGAACTCCAACTTTCAATTCTCAGGCACTCGTCCGCAGCTGCCGATATACAGTTCTAATTCGTAGCAAAATTTGTTTGTTTCAAACTTACCGTTATATATTTCCTCTATGTATTTGTAATCCACATCACGCAGCGTAGCTATTATCCATTTCGATATATAGCGTAACAAGCTTCATTGAAATGCATTCATATCTAAGTTTTTACCGACTTTACGAATACTGAAGTAGTTTTACATATGTTTGGCGGTTAATACTCGATATTCCCTACATCACGAAAGCATTAGTTTTGGAAATCAATTTTTTTTAATATATGTTACTATCCCTTTAGTAAATTGTACAATATAATAAAATATTAATGTTCCTATTAAGGTGAACCAAAATCGAGTCTATCGTAATCTACTTAAAAAACGGATTGTAGAGCACAAAATTTCATGACGTATAAAGCTGGTGACGATTTTTTAATATAATATAAATAATTCGTTTATTAAAACCTAGTATGTAATGTAATTCATGTAATTGTAGGAATCTACTTTAACATTTGTAACTTACAATTTTCAACTTTTAAATTTTTATGTTACCGATTTTTTATTTTCAAATATTTTCATTTTTCTGAATTATTATAATTTTCATTTTCAAATATAAGTCTTATGTTCAATAAATTTTACTTCGATTCGATTCCTGTCATAAAAAATTTGATGAGGAGATGTGGTGATCTCCGAAACAGCGGTCACTTCTACCATTTTTCTTTGTTGCATAGCAAATATTCAATTCATACAAACAACAAGGTTTCGTAGTTTACTTAATAAAATTAATATATGTATAGCATTGCCGCAAAAACAAATTATTAAAGTTTTTATTTAAATATTTTTCTATGTAATTGGCGATCCGGTGAACTAAAGCTTTTTAAAATAAATATATATATGTATGTGTGTACTTGTATATTATCAAAAATTTGTAGAACTGAATTTTAATTATGCAATTTTCAAAATTTATGTGTGGATCGCCAATTGTATAGAGCGCGACTTATTTATTTAGCTCTATATATATATATTTATATATATTTATAAAAATTTTATTTTTCAATAAAAAATTGTTCGTATATATTTAAAAGTTGAAAATTATAAGCTACAAATGTTGAAGTAGATTCCTACAGTAATCAAAATTAAATTAATTAAAATTTATTTTAATCACTCAACTACTTGGCGACTTTTTTTTTTTAAATTTGTAGAGTTTTAAGAACTCCTCTCGAAATGATTTGATTTTGGAAAGAAATCAAAATAAAGAAAAATAATTCAAATATACCATAAATATAAATTTTTCGAGTTTAGGGATCCCTACTTCCCTTCCCTATACAATAAAATACTTCTTGTTCATATTAATATAATATATGTATGTATTTATGTATGTACATAATCATAAAGCTATATGTGCTCAAGATACCAAGAAAAATGAATAGCGATATGATTTCTTCGAATAGACCGAATCCTGGTTCACTTCCTGAAATTTTGTTTTACACAGAAAAAAGCTAAAAAAAATGTCAGCTTAATTTGTCGTGTAGTTTCGGAGATCCTAGAAAACATACATACGTACATAGACATACAAATAAACATTTTCATATGTACGTGTCCATTAGAAAGCATACCCAAAACTGAGAAGATCCTGAAAATTTCAGTCTGATATGAGTAAATACGGTCGTTGGAGAATTTTTTGAATTTTTGTTCCGATCTACAAAATATGCATATATAATATAATAAACATATGTATATATTATATATGTAAATAATAAATAATAAAATGAGAAGCCGATCGCGTTGAAGCGGTTATGCTGAACATTTCCGCTTGCATATGGTTGAGTAAAAAAGGTTTGGCATTTTAAAAAGTTGCGCTTCTAAAGGGTGTTTCTTTAGACACGTTTAATGTTAAGCCCTAGAATTTAGCTTTATTCTGAAGATAGGGGATTGCCATCATGTTTTAAAAATGATTTTGACAAAGGCACGACCAACCGAGAGGCAAGACCACTTTTTGCTTGATTATTTTCTACCAAAAGCGTCTATTGTTTTGGCCCCTTATCTGTTTTCCCCATTGGTTGTAATTTAATTATTTTTTGAACAAATATGAAAAAATGATTCTCTCTGCCCTTAGAGCTCAACAAACAGAGACTTTTTGAGGGTTACCATCACTCCCAGTACGTACCTATTCAACAAAAATTGAGCTCCATCGTTGAACAAAAATCGTCGCGCGAAACGAGCTAAGATTTTGGAGATAAATTTACACGTTTTGCAAACGTTGTTCCAGACTAAGTCTATTCATTGTGAAAAGACACACCAAACTTATCTGCATAAATCCGCCAAATTAACGAAGAGAGAAACGTGTAAAAAAAAACATCCTTCACTACGCTTAAATCGAAATCGTTCACTTACCAAATCTTTTTCGTTAATTATCATCTACTCGTATTGCCTACACTTACCGCGTATTTACCAACAATAGCAGTAATTTGCTTAAATTTCCATTTTTAATCTTTCCATTGGCTTTCGTGTTATACATATTAATAATAGTAATAGTAGTAATAGTAATAATAATAATAATAATAAAAGACAAATAAGAACTTTTGTGCGCATCTATTGCACTAGTGTTTTCTTAACATTAGGGTATTTCATACTTTGCCATTAGGTAAGTTAGCACTGTTATATGTCTTCCATTTTGAAATTATGTCCTTCGTTCGGGGATATCGTTATAGAGTCAATGACATGCGCCTGGTGATGTGCCTCGTTTGTACCATCGGTTGAATGTGTAGACACGGCAGTATTTGAATTCATTTGGGACGGTGAGAGTGTTGTGCCATGGCTCAACATATGTTGTTGCTGTTGCTGTTGTTGCTGCTGGTGCTGGTGCTGCTGCTGCTCACTCAAATGCGTTGAGTGATTTGAATGTGACTGTGGTTCTGCCACGCAAATTGCTTCATCGCTGAGATTCGTTTGTGCAGGTGATTTGAGTGCGTTACCACCACTGGGACCAGCGGATGCCGGTGTCGTGGTGCCTGTTATTGGTGAGCTAAGCGAATTGGCGCCACCGCTGCCATGTTGGGATTGATTACTTTGATTCGATGGACTTTGTAGGTGCAGCGGCGGTGGCGGCGGTAGTGGTGGTGAATGCATTAACGGTGTTATTTCCAAATGTGCTTCATGTTGATGATGCTGCTGCTGGTGCCCATGCGGATGCGGATGCTGATGCTGATGCTGATGCTGATGATGTTGATGCTGCGTCAAGTGCGCCATGTGTGGCAATTGTGCATGATGACCATGATGATGCATGGCATTGGATGCATTCGCACTATGCAAGATATTCTGTATTACGCTGTTTGAGTGCAAGCCCTGTGCGCTACTTCCAGCACTCACACCAGCGCCACTTCCTGAGCTGCCAATTGCGTGTTGCTGATGATGATGGTGATGATGATGTATATTGCCTGTCATACTACCGCTATCGGCGGTGGAGTGATGTGGCATTAAGAGACTAGTTGCCGCCTGCGAAGTGTGTGCATGCATGTGCGGATTGCCGCCCAATAGCGACGCTGGCATGGGCGGTGACGTTGAGCCGCCTACTGAATGTAGCTGTTCTTGTTGTTGTTGTTGCTGCTGTTGTTGTTGCTGCTGCTGCTGCTGATGCATCTGCAATTGTTGTGCTGGCGAATTATGCATAGTATTATGCTGTGAATACATCGATACGCCAATGGCACTGCCAGCCGCTGCATGATGCAACCGTGCAGCCGCACCAGCACTTACACCTGCAACAGTATTGCCACCACCACTAGGCAAAAGTACCGCAGACATATTAAGAGAATTCAAATTCATTGTTGGCGAATTCGATGTAGCCACCGAATTGGACTGTTGTGCATTGCCATCTATGGGAAATCCAAGGGTATTTCCACCACCGCTAGGATTACCTGAGCCACCATTATTGCCTATTCCGCCAACAGGACCACCTCCTCGCATATGTGGCGGATGGTTATGCACGCCAGTAGCGGATATCACACGTCCTTGATGTGTTATGCAACGTGCTCGACACATACTAATGCGATAGGACTTGCAGAGCCAATAGGTTTTCATACCTTGCTGTGTGGCCACGGTGTTGTTGCGATTGAATACGCAGTTACCGTGCAACAGAGACGTCGACGAGAGCATCACCACATTACTGCTGTCTACAAAACAAATGTACGTTGTGTCGGCACCGAGGTTGGTTGGTCACAGTGGGATCATAAACGTAAGCAGTCGGGGCGGGTAGAAATTCAAAAGCCAAAGATAAAGTAAACACGTAATATGTTAATATCATTCGGATATACTTTCATATTACTTATTTTATATGCAGTAATATGTGTGGAATTTAACGTGAGAATTTATTTGTTTTATTGTAATATTCAATTAATTATTGATTGTGCTTTTGATAGTTTCAAAGTGAATTATTTACAGAGAGCAGCTTTTAGAGTGCCAACAAATCGGTGGTGTAAATGTGTTGTGTATGCTTGTATATAATTAAATTTAGCTTAAAAGGATAGTGCGTTTCTTACTTTGTGTGCGCACGCACACATATATATTTATATACATACTTATTTGGATGTGTTTTAAATGCGTTTATGTACAAATTTGTTATGATAAATATCTTAGATTGGGTTGTATAAATAAATTGTGAATAAAATCTAGCGGCTAAAAGGCCAAGACAAAGATAAGCCTAGTCCATTGAAAGCATTATCAGATTAACTTTTAGTGGCAAATTTATAAATTTATTTACACAAAAAAATAGATCTTTTGTGAAGAAAGCAGATTGATTCATTAATATAAAATAGATGCCAAGCCAAATCATTTTATGTCTAAAAAAGACTTAGTTAGTTAGTGTGTATTGTCAGAATGTTGTTAAAAAAAAAACGATTCAAGTATACCTATCTGTAGGACTCGTTTTTACATACATACCCGCCGCAGCTCTAACGCCCATACACTGATACTAAGATATAATTATCTCTTATAAGGGAAGGGTATAATTTATTTCGCAAAACAACGAAGATTATTCAAGATTAAGATTCCACTTAGGCTACTCCAAGAGTTGCCCTCTAATGTTAAAATATAACTGCTTTTGCTACAAGGGATCGGATTCAAGAATGTATTACCAAAGCGCTTTCAGAATTGAACTCTGTAGTTCAAACCGGTTAAGACCGGAAGTACTGAGCTGCTCGAACCAATTTAAGATAATGCTTTCTGATCATTCCCAAGTGAATAACAATCAGAAACTTATTCCACTTGCGTGAGCTTCTACACTTAGCTCCGCCCTCCTTTTCTACACATGGTCCTTACTCCGCAGTGTAATTGGCTAGATCTTTCATTTCGCTAAATGTCAGCCGCAAATACCAAGGTTAGCATTGCCTTATGCCATTCTAAAGGACAAGGTTGGAGTCCTGGTTAAAATAACATCCAAATTGTAATAAATTGTTTTTTTTTTTTTAATTAATTTTCAAAAAGTAAGGTTCAATGACCTAGCCGTACCATAAACCGCACACGTTGAGGATAGAGAAGCTTTTCAACAAAAAAAGAGTTGCTTTTTCCGATGCCCAGATGCGACAGTTTTGCTTATTGACATAGCCACCGATGTGGAAATGAGCCTAATCAGGCAAGATTAAATTTTTATAATGAATTTTAATAATGTGCGTTGAAGCGTTTATCGTTCCATTTTTATTACTTGCTCAGTTTTTACTTTTGCCAAATGCCAATAAATTTCAGCTTCAAAAGCGACATCTACCGGAATAGTAGATTATCAAAATATAACCCTTTTTTGAAAGAATAGAGCAGTATAGATCCACTTTACGCAAAGAAACTGCGTTTACAAAGCATTTGCAAGGGGTAATATGACATGAAACTTTCGTTACTTTTTTAAAAACTGAAAAATTTCGCACAAATGACGAATACCTTTCTTGCTTTGTTGTTAGATGTTTTGCAAAATAATTACGTTTTTAATATTTTATTTACAATATTTTGCTTCTAAAACAATAAAAAAAACAGAAGTTTTCATTATTTTTTTTCAAATTTTTTTGTTTCGTTCAGCTGCCGTTATAACATTTTCTAAGTATTTAGTAGATGGCGAATGCTTTTTTGATCGCTTTATAAACATACAAAAATGGATGTTTGGACAAATTTTTGGAAAGTGATGTTAAATTTCTATGCAATTTTGTATGCTCCTGTAATGAAATTTGGATTTTTTCAATCTCACATTTAATTTCAAATCAAATAATTGCTGCGTCTGACGGCACCTTAAATGTCAAAATTATGCTATCGGTTGAGTAAAAATTGAAAATAATCGGTAACAATTGTCTGACTGACCAGCTCCTGGCCCAACACGCTAATTGGATAAAGTACAAATGAACAAAATTTGTTCAAAAATGAATAACGAAATTGAAAATATGGGCCAACACTTTGGATTCCCTAAAGACGATTGAGCAGTAGCGTAATGTTGATTACAGTTTATTAATTTTATTTTAAATCCTATTGCATACTATTATATTTTCCACTACCGGTGTATGCTTTTACTAAAAGTATTGGGACGAATTTAATTTTTTTCTCGTTAGGAGAAATTGTTGGTAATGGCGGAAGTTTAGTTAGGAAGAAAGAACACACGCAATAACAGTTAGTAAAATAGTTAAAGCTAGTAGTAATGATATAATTGAATTTTGCTAAGAAATTAAACAAAGATTAGTAAGCTGGAACCTGGACAATTTAACAATTTATACCTCTAAAAATACTAATAAATACTAATAATAATATATATTTAGCAAAACCTCATACAGTATAATGTATAAAGGTGATAAACACTAAATGCAACACAAAATCAAAAAAAAATATTGGACCAAAATACATAGTAAATGTGGATGTTAAGCATGAATATACTTGAAAGCATGCACACAAAATGAAATAATAATGTGTATGTATTCATAAAGCAACCGTAATTTAACTTACTAAAAGTAGTAAAATATACATACTTGGCGGAATGTCTACATGATTTGCGAAATTCTTCGAGTAGTCACTTGGAATATGCAAATCATTTGGATATTCGGTACTACCACCACCACCAGGCGTATTGCCACCACAGGCACCGCCAATGCCACTTGCACCCACTCCACCAGCTCCACTATTTTTATATAAATTATAATCGAAACCAAAAGCAGCCGGATTAAAGGTACCTCTAAATGCCGCAGCAGCAGCCGCTGCTGATGAATTCGTTGGTAGGTGCGGTATAGACGGTAGGAAATAATCGGATTCACCATCCGCATCGGCGCTATCACTATGATCGGTATTGTGTTCGGCGGAGGTTATTGAACGACGGAATTGTTTGCGTGAATAAATTGATAGCGCATCATTATTTAAATCCAAATGGCGCTTAAGACTTGCGCTCGCATGATAGTTCGGATGCAAAGGCAAACTCTGGTCAGGTGAGTTTTTAAAACTTTGTTGATTAATAGTAGTAGCTGATGATTCGTTGAAACCCATTGGCGATGGTGATGAGGCCGGTGAATTTGATTTCACCGATATGGGATTTGATAGTTTTGCGCTTTTTAGACCTTCAGCAGAAATATTCACTTCACCACTGGCACTGCCAGTACGATTTGGTCCAGTTTTTCCACCGGCGGTCACGCTACTATTATTTTCCGTATCTGCACCGACACTGCTCGTTTCATCGATATTTTGCGCTTGACTAGCAGATTTACTCTCCGTCGAACTTGTACCCGCTGCTGTTGATGAGGCATTTGTGGCAAGACCTTTTATCTGCAGTAATTGGCCTATTTTCATGAATGACTGCAGTTCTGTGTGCTTAACATTCACTACGCCCTGGTACATGAACTCCAGCAACTCGCACATGATGTTGAATGTGACATCCTTGAGTATGACTGCAAGGAAAATCGAAAATGGAAATTAGTTTTAGTGATGATATATTTAAATTATACTCAATTTATACGAGAGATGTTATCGAAACGAAATTAAAATATTTATCTTGAACGACAGAAAATCATCGTGAAGGTTAATTCTTAAACGGCTGCTTGCTTCGATATTAACCGCACACTTCAATTTTAACATTTAATACTATTTGTTAACGATTTAACATTAAGGACAGGATTTCGTTTCGGTTAAAAACGAAATGAATTTCTTTTGGTAATTGCTTTAACGATATCAAACAGACAAATGTTTCAACGAAAACGATTGAAATTTTTTTATTATATGGATGCAAACTTCACACATGACTAGCAGGAGACCATTCAGAATATCTTATAACACAAAAACGGCTGAACCTGTTTTTGAGATTTTTGTGACTTTGGATTTCCTCTTTAAGAGTTTTTTCTGAAATAAAAGATAATTTCTGCTTAAATTAACATTTTAATGGCAAACATTTTCTTCTGGGAAATCGATTAAAGTTGAAAACAACTTTTTTACGGTTTGATTTGATTCCGTAAGATGAACATGGAGGGGGTTTTTTTCCAGAAGTGAATCAGGCATCAGGAATCATGTTCGATTTACTGGATTTTATAGTCAGGCCAACCAAACTATTCACCGGAACGCATTTGGTAATAAATTAATAAACGACGAAAATGATTTAAGAGAATACGAGGTTTGTTCAAAAAGTATCGCGAATTTTGAATTTTCGCGGGTTACGTATAATCGAATTTCGATTTTTTGTGTCGTTATGTTGGTACTCATGTCTGTCACTTACGCCGACAATTTCGGCCATTTTGAATGTTCACTTAATTGTTGACAGCTGCTTTGCTTGCACGTGTTTTGGATGGTCTTCGATTTTTACCTTTTCAAAAAAATGAATCAATGAACCTGTATAAAATTTTGTGTGAAAAATGAAATTAAGTGCGCGGATGCATTCCGAATGTTGACTGTGGCATACGGAGAAGCTACCTTGGACCGGAACAACGTTTATCGGTGGTACAAAATCTTCCCAGAAGGCCGAGAAGATGTGAACGACGCAGAGCGTACCGGACGCCCTAGCACTTCAACAACAGACGAAAAAATGAATTGCAGGGGCGTGGTGCATCATGAGTTCCTGCCACAGGGTAGATCGGTCAATAAGGAATATTACCTGCAAGTTATGCGCAATTTGCGCGAAGCAATCCGCCAGAAACGCCCGGATTTGTGGAAGAACAAAAATTTGCTTTTGCACCACGATAACGCCCCTGCTCACACATCGTTGCTTGTGCGCGACGTTTTGGCCAAAAACAACACACTAATGAAGCCGCAGCTTACCGTATTCCCCAGATTATTGTTCCCTAAACTGAAGAGGCCCATGTAAGGACGACGTTACTCTACGATTGACGAGATAAAGACGGCATCGAAGGAGGAGCTAAACAAGATAAAAAAAATGATTTTTTTAAGTGCTTCGAAAATTGGAAAAACCGTTGGCACAATGGGACAAAATAGATATTCATGAATAAATAAATAATTTTTGAAAAAACACAAAATTCGCGATATTTTTTAGCACACCTCGAATACTCATAGGAAAACTTAAAGGTCATTCAGTTATGCCTGGGATTCGACTTATTTTACATTCGCCATGACTATTAATAGCTAACAAGGCTAACGAAAAATATCATTTATCACAGGGTGCTTTACTGAAGAGAAGAAGGCAAATATTATTTATTGTCCTATTAAAAAAAGATAATATCTAGCGATTAGTTTTCAAAGTATACTGGCTCTGAAGAGAATCCACGGCCGCAATAGTCAAGTGGTTAAGATTGCGTACTGCCATTCGGAAGGCCAGGGTTCGAGTCCCAGTTCGACCAGCATCCGAGGCATTGTTGGAAAACATAAAGATGCATACTACAAATTGGAGGAGGATCTCGGCCGAAAATCGCTTCAGCGGTTACAAACCTCAAATTATATACATATATATATATATATATATTGTATTTATATATATACCTGGTGTATATTTTGATATATTAGGTGAGTTCAAAAAGATGCAAAATTCAATAACTAGAATGAAACGTTTATACAGGGTGCTCCATCATGATTAAATCAGGTGATCTGTCAGATGGTGTCTTTTTGCAGCGATATTTTTTCCTATATGCACGTTGAGTTATCACAATGGCACGAATGTTTTCGATATAAAGGATCACTATTTCAGCGCGTTATTTCGATGTGAAGCGATCCATGGCAAAAAAATTGTTCTGAATTGACGTTGCTAAAACATATATGATGCAATCGCTCGGTTGGTAAATATGAAATTTTTGCAGCGTTTACATACCGACATTAAAGATGGAGCACCCTGTAGACACAAGCGGACAGCCACAATCGGATGATATGAAAATATGAGAATTTTCAATACTTTTTTTGTCAGTAAATCAGTAAATTTGGCGGGCGACTTTGTCATATGGTTAGCACTATGTACTACCATATTAACATCTAAAATTACAAAACATTAATCTTCTATCGCGGGCGCTCCTTGGCAGGGAATTTTAACCTCTTCGAATGTATACCTGACATGAAATAAAAGCTTCCTAAGTTGAAAAATTAGAGAGGTGCTGTCTTCAGCCATACCGGAGTCGTTATACCTCTCATTGGCCATATCAAATTAGTGACCGCGGTAGCCGAGTGGTTAGCATTGTGCACTGGCATTCGGTAGGACAGGATTCAAATCCTGGTGCTACTAACATTCAAATGGTTACAGAAAATTACAATAATTTAAATAAAAAATTAAGCTTCTAATTGCGGTCGCTCCTCGGCAGTGAATGTCAATCCCTCTGTGTGTATTTATGACATGATATTAAGCTCCTTATTAAAAAACCGTTCGGATGCGGCTTAGTATAAACTGTAGATCCCTCCATTTGTTGGAAAAAACATCAAGACGTAAGACCACAAATTGGAGGAGGAGTTCGACCGCAAAACGCTTCAGTGGTTACAAAACGCCAATTATATATATTAAATATTAATTCTAATATCAGAAAAATTGATTTTAGAGGAGACATTTGCTAAAGTTTTGATGAGATTTAAAATTGAATATTTATTAGAACTTATGTACGTGATTGGAATACCGAATTTCACGCTTTTGGATTTTGTTTTACGGATTTTTGACTGAAACTTTCATAACTGATGGATAGCTCTTTGCTGTTGCGGCTACTTACACAATATAAAAACCCTAAAAAGTAACAACTATTTTTTTTCCGATTCCTACTACCTCTAAACTTTGAATTTGTCATTATAAATCGGCTGACTTAACGACTATTGCATTAACCAACGAAATTTGATCAAGCTGGATTTTTTCCCAACACGAGCATCGCATTAATGGTTTTACTCAAAACTTTTCCATCGCTATTATCTCTTCGTAAGTATGTATGAAATAGGAAGACATTGCAGTAAGTAAATAAAGTAAGAGCACCTTCTTTGAAATATCTGAATAAATTTAAACAAAGAATCTTCACAATATATAAATTCGATTTAGGGTATATGTAAGTACATAAATTAATGCTATCGATTAAACTCGCTCTACATACATGCGTACATACGTGTACATATGTATACTAATTAAAAATGAACGTTTTTATGTGGAGCATAAATATTGTGACTGTTATCAGATATGTATGTATGTATGTATCTACATACATATATATTGAAAAAAATATCATATGCATTTGAGAGATCAAAAAGGGGCAACGGAACATTAGACATAGTAATAATATGGATCAGTTTCGAATGCTTACACAAACGTTGACTGTTTTCTCGTATTCATAATTTTATAACTGTAAAAATGAAAGAGGTCAAATATATTCTGAAGATGTTATCAGCTCACATATGAAATGTACAAATACTAAATCAATACATAAAATTTCTCGATAAGAGCTAAAAATCTTAAAAACAAGGCTCAAAGTGCTGTACGTACATACATACATGCATGCGTATATATGTATGTATGTATGTAAGTACATGAATATATACGTGTGAAGATAGATAATACTTATATTATATATGTAGGTATAACGTGTGTACATATATATCACACAACAACTGCAACAACACAACAGCAGCAGCCGATTTCGTTACGATGGAAATAACCGATGTCGCTGCTCCTGCTGCTGCTGCTGCTGCTGCTGCTGCTACTGCTGTTACTACTACTACGGATGAGACAGCTAAACCAGCGCTAGCCAACATCTACTTAAAAACAATATTATCTCTTGTTCTCAATAATCACAAATTAACCGCACACTTCCACCCCATATTCGATCACAACCTCCAACGCAACTAACCAGACATACAAATATACAAATATTTATTAAAAGTGCTGCTGATCTACTTGGATGTATTTAAAAAATTATATATGTACTCATATGTATAGAGGTGTGTAAAAAAAAAGACAAATAAAAATCTCTGCCAGTAGTCCCCAGTCTATAAAGTGAGATATTTCTCATTTAAGCTACGTACGTATGTATGTATGTACGTAGCTGTTTATTTCAATCCTCGGTGAAGTCAATTTCGTTTTTTTCCTTTTTTTTTGTTCAATAAATGACTGTATAAAAGTCCGTGCATGACTCGAGCGTGTCTCAAAAATTTTTTTGAAGCATCTCTAGGAAGATACAGCACATGATACACACACATATTCATGTGTATATGTATGTATATGTAAGCGCACCAAGTAAATATAAATACCAGCACATGCGCCTGGGTACAATGATATGTCTCATATAAGTGTTAATATCGCTCGCTGACAAGCTCAGCTCAGTGTGTTCATATGGAGGATTGGATGGGTGATTAACTTAGCTCAGCTTATATTCTCTGATGACACAAATATTTTATAGGCTATAACTTAGTTCCGCATTTCATCTCCGAAATCATAGTGCTGATATTAAGTTCCATCTAATGAATGTGTTAGTAAAGAGTTGATTTTACTACAAAA